GGGCTCTGAGCAACCTGATTTGGTTGATGTCCCTGCTCATTGCAGGAGGTTGGACTAGATGACCTTTAAAGGTCCTATCCGACCCAAGCTCTTCTATGGGTGCAGCTTGAAGGGAGAAATAGAGCAAGGATTAAAATAGACAAGGCAACTTTGGAGAAGATCCCAAATAACTGACTTGTTAAACAGAAGCAACATTCTTTTGTTACAGTAGTATTGTAAAATAGTACTTTAAATCATCTGTGGGTTTTATTTGAATGAGTATATTGAAATAATATGTTGTCCTGGATTCTTGAACATAATGCTCTGATAAAATTGATACTTATGTCTTTAAAACATGAAAAATATTTGAAATGTGTATTGTAATTTTCAAAATTGTTAGAATATAGAGAAGACATCTTGTACAGTTTAATATTTGACGTTGGCAGTTCCTAGCAAATTGTCTGCCCCACTGGGTTTAGAGGTAGGAGATTTGCTCTTACTTTGTGTAATTTTAGAAATCCTTCAGGATATCTAAAGAATTGGCATGTTTGTGAAAATAAAGCTGTAGGGAGACTTCAATATGTATTCCACAGCTCTACATTCTCAAAATAGTCATAACGGATGACTGTAAGAGCTTGGCTTATTTAACCTCCCAAGGGAAGGCTGAGAAGAGGGTAGGTAGGCTAGCTCTGAATGTGTCTTAGGATTGATTACTGAAAAGAAGATGAGAGAGTAGGGAAGATGTTGTTAAGTGCTTGTAGAGCATGTAGAGACTAGGAAAACATTTCTAACTCTGGAGCTGTGCAGTTGAACAGCAGTGTCCAGGGTTTAAGATCCCCTTCTCCTGCCTCTCAGCTCTGGGCTTCATGAGTAGTTTATTAAAATTACAAAGCACGGGGATATATGCAAGACACCTGCAGATACTGGCATATGGGACTCATTAAGAGCAGATTCCTATACACTCCTGTGTTTTTCTATAATGTGTTACAAGCTTGCCAATTGCTCTGGTCAGGTGACTCAGTAATACAACAATGAAAATATTACTACAATGTTTTACATTTCGTCACAGTTCCCCATCTGTTTTTATGCTCTTCTTACATGTCACATAGGACATACAATTGATAGCGCTGAGCAAGATCTAGTTTGAATTATGTTCTAATAAAGCATGTTCTCACAAAACAATACACTTACTGCAAGGTTTAGTTCTGCTTAGATGAAATTCAGTGAACTCTATTCTGTAGGAAAACAAAGCAAGAACAGATGTGCTAGTGGGTCATAGAGGATATGACCTAGCTGTGGCTCTGGATATCCTATTTTAGATGGGGATGATCTCTGCCATGCTAGGTGCTTACAGAGGCCCATTTTAGCCCTTTAGTCTATGAAATCTTTGTTTTTGCGCTGTACTGTTTTGTTCTCTGTAAATTGTGCATTTCTCATATAGGGTTTGGTAGATTAATATGAAATTGCAGGTAGTGCAGAAATAATACATATACTTGTTTTGGGTTAACAAGTCTCTTAATTAGTTGTTTAAAATTCTTTTATTCTGAATTATCTTTTTCTTTATTGGATGTGCTATTCCCACAGGGTTTTTCATTTTAATGAAGAGGACTTCCAATGTTCAGATTCAAGAACCAGAGTTTGATTTTAGTTCTGTTGATGATTTGCTGTGAAATTGAGTGTGCTGCTAGCATCTTCAACTTGCATAAATAATACTTTATGGTTGTAAAGGTACAAATGAAGCTTTTGAATTGATTTGAAAAAGTGGATCTAACCCCTTTATTCACACTTAGTTTTTTGCTTATGTAGAGTTTGAAATTGCAATCTGTAGCAGGTATTGCTGATCTCACTGTGATGATAGAGTAGATAGTAAAAATGGAGTAAAAATGTCTTATATTGTATTTCAGACCACAAGCAATTCCATTTTTTTGGTTTTGCCCTTTAAAGTCAGCTTAGTTGTGAAAGTGGGGAGGGTAACAAATTATTTTATTTAGATTATTAGATACTTTGCTTGTGCCATACATAAAATGTTGATACGTGTGAAAACATATGTGCCCTGTAACTGTGAAAACAGTAGTTTCAAGATAGAATAACTACTGAATGCAGTACAGGCTATGGATGCATTTGTAGGGGAGTTTTATGAGATAGGCAGACACAGTGTGTAAGTCACATATTACTACCTTGACTGTCTAGCCATCCCCTGATGAGCTCACCTGCATGTGCCCTTCCACTGCTCAAAGCTGACATCAGGTACTTTTTACCTTTTTTCCCTCATCCATGTACTGAAGATAGAATAAATAAATGAATAGGTCAGCCGTGTTTGACTAGGTTCAGAGTGAAAATACATAAAATGAGAGAAAAAGCAACAGAGATCATCCTGTATTTTTGAAAGAGGCTATTTTACCTGTACAGTGTGTTTTAAGCATCTCCTTTATTAAATCAAAATTGATGCATTGTTAGAGGTGAGTGGAAGCAAAGGAACATGAAGGACATGTATTTTCATGTTTTAGAGGAAGTTGGGTAGAGAAAAAGAACAGGCTTATGAGAATGCCAAAGAGAAAAGATACCTTCTAAAAGTATTGGATTAGCTCAAGAGAGAGTGCTTTTTCTTTATAACCACTCCTTTTATCTGCACAAAGGAAATAGGTGGGCATTTTTTGTTAGATACCTGAGCATATGTTACAGCTACTTAGATTATGTAATTTACTTTGTACCTTTTTCATGGACAAACGCTTCTTTTTAATCTGAAATTAACCTACCTTCAACCTTTAGTGTGATATAGACACTGAATATATTATTACTAACTACTTTTTTCTTTGTCTGGATCCTATTGTACATGAAATATGTGGCTACCTACAAATACTAGCATAACTACAAGGTTTGTGTGTTTGTAAAAAAAATGTTCTTGTAAAGACAGAGGTCTGCTTTTTTATGTTTCTATCTGCAATCCCATAAGCAGACATAATTTTATGGTTTTACCATGAAGCGGTTACATTTTAGTCAAATACCAGATATTGAGCATACTATGACTAAGATTTGCCACTTCCACAAAAAAACCTCTGGACTTCTTTGGTTTTTGCAGTGAACTGAAAGTAAGCAGAAACATATTTGATAGATTGGCTTGAACTGGAACCATAAATCATGAGATGCAAGTGAATATCTTGTTCCAAATTAAAGTTTTGATATTATTTCTTTTCAATTTGGGTCATGCCAAATAGCATAAATATTTTCAAAACCAGTACATCTTTATCTTTGTGTAAGGTTGATGCATTCCTGAGACAGTTATTCCTTAGAGCAGTAGAGGTGTTTTCTTGAATGTATGAAATTTGGAGGGTTTATGTATTTCTAGGTGCTGTGCTTAATTGCTTTTAAAAAGGATTTAAAGTAAACTTGACTGAGTCAGCAGATAGTGTAAACTTTACCTTACAGCTTTTCTTAGAAGATAAATTATTTTTATGTTTACATGTTAATTTTATATTAATGGAATTGTTAACAAAAAGCATTCATCAAACAACGTTTGTCATAGGTGGAAAAGTGGAAAGGAATTAGGGCCTTGAGAGAGCAAGGTGGTTTGTCTTAGGAGCTCTGAACCCACTAGGCTGAGAGAGGCAAGAGGCTTCTGCAGCTCTGTGTCCCCAGGTCCAGCCAGCAGCAAGGCTGAGCACGTGTTCCAGTTGGGCACATGTGTACGCGCACACACAACACATTACATGTACACATATACACGTGGTCTTCCAGTTAGATCAACGTGGACACCACAGCACTCTCACAAACAGAAACTGAAGCAGTGGCCTGACCTTGTTTCACCTCTCTGGCTGGTCAGGATGAAAGCCTGCTCCATTCTAGTTGCTGGTGCTCAGCCCTCCTCCTGTGAATCTGCGTTTACGCGCGCGCACACACACACACACAGAGTATGGATCCTCCCAGTAGCTTTTATATTCAGTGCATGAAGTAGTTGACCCCTGGCCTCACACACAGACACACACATGCAAATGGGCCTTTCTGGTACCTGGTAGCTGACCCTTGCTCCCCAGAGGATCTCCTGAAGCTGGGACCTCCCATTTCCTAAACATCTCATAATAAAATTTGGTGCCATCCCAAAGTGCTCTTCCCCTGAATCCTGTGGTGAGCCCCGTGTCCCTGTGGGCAGTAACCCCCTGACAGGCTGTAAGGTGAGTGGGGAGCCTTTCCCTTCTCTTTAGCTGGTGAGTGCCATCACCTAGACAGAATGATGCTGCAGTGTAGGATTGTACTTGTTAATGGAGTAAGACACTGCCTATATAGGGGATGTATTATGGGAATTATGTATCTCCAACTTCTTACATATATTATAAATCATGCAGTTTGATATATCAGAAGGCCATGTTTAAATGGTATTTTCTTAGAAACTACTCAAGAATGATAGCTTATCTGCTAGACATTGGGATCTGCCACATCAAAGAGGTTTCAAGTAACAAAAGAGCAAAGAAATTTATGAAAAAGATTTTCCTTTGTAGGAATCTTCTTTGATATTTCAGAAAGAAAAAATACTGACTCCTCATTTTGATTTTTGTGTGAACCCATGGTTTTTTGTCACGACGTTAGTGCAACAGGTCAAAGCTCAACTCAAAGCAGAGTGTTAGAACTGTTACCTAAGATGTGTGTAACAGGATTGTCCAATGGAAGCCTTTGTAGAATAACCCACGTTATTTATTAGTATTTCTTTACAGTATAAGATTTAATGGTATGGTAAAGAAATTACTATGATATATTGATCACATGGGACCTATACGAAGCATTTAATTTGAAGTCTGTAACCTTTATAACTAACAGAGAATTAAGAAATTATGAGTTGGAAGAAGCACTTCCCCTAAATTGCAGATCACCTTGTTTCGTACCATCTTAAGTCATCTATTCTTCAAGGCTACTTGCCAGTCAAAAACAATGAAAGTCATTCCAGAGTAATTTTTTTAAGATTAGTTGATATTTAGGAAAAAAGTACATATAATTCAAGTTTAATGGGAATATTTTTATTTTTCTTAAAGGAATTCCCTACGGTTCTGCTTATTCATCAGATGGACAGTCATGAAGGTGCATGGACAATATTGCCATTAATGAGAGAGTAAGTGTAACGAATGCCAGTTATTTTGGGAATTCAGACCTCTTTTCTCAGAAGTTTTCGCATGAGAGTTGCAACCTTATATTTTCACTTTCTTACTCTACATTTTTTTTGGTTTTCCAAAGCAATTTTCTGTTGGTTAAATCAGAGAAAGCTATTTTAAGTAATAATAGAATGTAACTGACCAACTACCTTCTTTGAATCGTTGTGCGTTTTAAAATTATCAGGGAAGTAAACTAGTCAAAAGAAATAATATTTTTAAGTGTGCATTTTCCTATTTGGTTCCCAGTTCTCACAGAATAAGGTGTGAGGTATTTCAGAACTTTTGAGCTTTCAGATTACTTGACTGAATGAAGTAGATTCATTAAAAAAAAATAGATAATACTGTTTGGGGTCTCTCTCTGTTACAGTTTATAGTGTTTATAAGAGGTGGTATGCCTCTATAGGGAGAAGCTGTAGGTTTCGGCATCTTTTTAGAAGCTTATCTGGCCAATTTTCATCTTAGTCTGATAGGAGAAGGCAGGTAGTCTCAAATACCTTTTGGTTTTAGCTTATGCCGATGAGCCTGAGGAAGACATGCTGCATTTATGGTAGTATCTTGCAAACTGTCAGGAAGCAATGATTCTTATTTCAGAAGGTCCTTAAGCTCCATGGTACTGAGGGCTATCTTTTGTTTGAAGCTTGTATTCGAAATCAGTGCCAGAGACTTGGCAGCCTCTCGAGGTTTAATTTAGTCAATGTAATTTATTAGACTTACTCAGGGGGAGGTTTTTCTATCAGAGTGGTTGCAGGACAAGATGCTTTTCCTTCTGCTCTCCATGGCTTTCTGTGTGTGTAGGAACATGAAAATAGTGCTTGTATAGTAGCCGTCTTTGAGATATATGTAAACTGTGAAAAGTAACAAAGGAGATTTGAACTAAAATGAAAAACTGGAAGATGATGTTCTGACTATCAATCATCTTTTTTTTTTCTTCTTAATTCCTGTTTCAATGACCTAGTAGTTCCTCTTCTGAATTGTTTATATTTGGTGACAGGATTTACAGATACAGCTTTTCTAAGATAGCAAAACTTGGAATGAAAAATAGAAATGCTCATTTGTGTGAGAAAGCAGAAGAAAATTCTTCAGAAATCAGAAGGGGAATCTTAAGTAGAGGATTGCCATCTTAATACTTCTGGAATATTAATTTTTTTCTTGTCTACTCTTTCGCTTACTGCTTTTGACAAACGAAGACATGGAATAGTTTAGGAGTATATTGAGGCTTTTACGGTTTTGTTTTCTCAATGGACAATAGAGGAAAAAGGGAGTTTAGCCCATTCTGCAACAGCTGGTGATGCTTGTAATTGTGATATAAGATGCATTCATATCAGAAAACTGTTTTCAGTTTTCCTCAGTTCTGTAGTTGTCAGCATTTTTTAAGTAAGCCTCTTACCAGCTATGACAATTCTTAATTTTTAGTTCTTGGGCACAAGTTAAGTTGGGCAAAGTATATAAGTTGGGCAAAGTATGTAATTTCATTACATGTAATCAGTGGATGTCTTATGACACAGTACCCTTATTGTGTCCAGAAGGCCCACTACATTTCTTCTCGGTAGTCATGTTCATTAGGCAGAGAATAAATCCCTTTTTAAAACATTATTATCCAGAACAGTATCTTAGCTGAGTAGTTCCAATGGCTCCTTGCAGTCTGAACTCCAAAGTTGTATGCTATGAGGTCTACATAAGACTCTCTGCAGGCCTTAAGTGCTTAGCCTTGAAAATAATTCTCATTGTCCATCAATAGGTAGATGAACAGATCATTCTTTTTGTGAACTTATTTGTGCTGTATTCATAAGATTCCATAATTCTTTTTGTGGGGATCACTCTAGTGTTTTCCCTTTGCCTTTCACCCACCTGCTTTCCTGTGTCTCCAGGCATTTCTCTCCTGAAGTTCTAGCTGAGCCTTAAAGTGTGAGAGAAAAGCCTGCAGTCTTCACAGGGCATTAAATACTGTACATATTTAAAAACACGACGGTATCTGATGCACTTTCTGTACTTGTTTGGCAAGTTTCAGAGGGGGGCAGCTGTTTTTCCCAATTGATTTTATCTTGTTTGCTTGCCTGAATGTCAGAGTTGCCTGGATTTCAGTGTTGACTAGACACCAAGTATATGCTCTTATGAACTAAAAGGATGAATGGATCATGAGTTCTTCTGGCTATTGTAGTTTAGCAGATTATCTTAAGAAGAAAGCAGTGAAAAATAAAATATTGTTGCAAGACACAGAGGAAAGGTAGCTTTTCAGGGTGGTGACTGTCATGATTCAGCCCCAGCCAGCAACTAAGTTCCATGCAGCTTCTCACTGACTCCCCTGTGATGAGATGGTGGAGAGAATTGGAAGGGTAAAACGGAGACAACTTGTGAGCTCAGATAAAGACAGTTTAATAGGTAAAGCAAAAGCTATGTGCACAAGCAAAGTAAAACCAGGAATTCGTTCACTGCTTCCCATGGGCAGATGTTCAGCTATCCTCAGGAAAGCAGGGCTTTGTCATATGTAACAGTGACTTAGGAAGACAAATGCCATCACTCCAAATGTGTCCCCTTCCTTCAGCTTTATATGCTGGGTATAATGCTGTGTGGTCTGGAATATTCCTTTGGTCAGCTGGGGTAAGCTGTCCTGGCTGTGTCCCCTCTCAGTTCCTTATGCACCCACAGCCCACTCGCAGGTGGGGTGGGATGAGAGGCAGAAAAGGCCTCAAAGCTGTGTAAGCCCTGCTTAGCAGTAACCAGCCCAAATCAGCACAATGACTTATCCCAGATGAAAAAAGGCTGAACTAGTTTAACACCTGGCAACCATCTTGTGCTTCTAGCATGTAATTAAAATACCTGCAGAGGCAGGTATCACATTTTCTAGCTGAAGTATTTCTCAGATAGTGAGTTTGGCTTTTTGAGGGGATTTGTTTGTTTGCTGACTTAACAGTTCTACTGTTTCTTTTCATTGCTGATTTTATCAGTAGCAAATGCTATAGAGAAAGCAAAATGTGATGTTCATAGGTACTAGTTTTCTTGTCCCTCTCCTCAGACAATTTGTTTAATTGAATCCACGTAAAAGCCATGCAAAGGAAACTAGACAAATAAAGATTGTGGTTTTTTCCATTAGGTTGTCATTAATAAATAAGGCTTTGTTCTGATAAGTAGTGGAAGAATTAAGCCAGGAGGAGCAAAAAAACAAGAAATTACTTTTTTTTAAGGAGTCAGGAATCCTGCATTGAGATTATTGCTAGCCTCAAGGAAGGTAGGGTAGTCCTTTCAGTCTCTATAGTTTCACTGTACTGGAAAAGCTAATGAAGCTTTTAGGTTGGGAATGGTCAGTGTCCAACAGCTGTCAGAAAACCTGTCATTAGGCGTTTTCATGATTGTTGCAGTGCTGTTAGATGCCCAATGGTGGGACCCCTTGGAAGAAAGTTGAGGTACAGGGGGGAAGGTAACTTAAACTGCTATGAACTTCTGAATTCATAGGTGGCTATTAGATCTATAGTACCTGTATGTTTCTGAGTAGACATCCTTTATGTATCCCTGTTCCCTTTCTTCTGGAATAACTGGTGCTTTTTAAATAGATATCAGCAGAGTCATTCTCTTTATCCATTCACTGTAGTCCTTTATTATGTAATTCTAAATTAGTAGTAAAAGTTTCTGTTTCTATATAAATGAATAATTGATTGCAAAGTACTTATATTTGGGGAATGTGCCTTGAATTTGTCATTTTGTTCATTAGCCACTTCACTGGTAAAATTTTAATTTCTGTTTTTAGCTTCTCTGTTACCTATGGTAGGAACTCCTCATGGATTTTCTTCTGTGAAGAAGATACAAGAATACAAGTTGTAAAACTGCTAGAAATACTTGGAAGATTCGACAGGTCTAAGGTGAAATAAAAATTTAGATATGTAACTTTCTTTTGAATGTGGTTGGGTGAGTTTTTCCAAGTGGAAAACATATATCTAAACAGCTTAAAATAGGGAGATAGATTTCTGTTGCTGAGGTTGAGAACCAGGTATTTAACATGAAGAAGTACAAATGCTTGTCTAGCTGTTGAAGAACTATTAAAATCAAACAGAGAAACCATTTTTTCTGTGGGTAGCCTGAAAATGATGTACCATCAATAAAAAGATGAATATAGTCTGCTGTGTGGTTCCCTCTCCCCATTTTCCTGTCTGTCATCAGTTCTGATTATCATCACACAGAATGACTGATGTTAGTCTGTCTCTCATCTAATATAGTAAGGTATTTTGTATGCATTCTGTTTCTGAACTGTGTTGGTGATAAGTTTTCTGTACCTGCTGGAAAACAAAACAACACCAAAGGATTTGAAAAACAAAAAGAAAAGTGTAGCTACCAAGAAACAAAGTAAATTTGGCAATGGAACCGACATGAAAGGTGTTAATATTTAGAATTTTCAGTGTTCAGAAAAAAAATCACCTTGGTGTCAGCCTGTATTAAAAGAAACAAAAATCTCCTTTGTGAAATATTTCTGCCTCTTTATTGCAACTCTGCTTCAGGACTCACTTTAGCATATTTACTTCTTTTGCAGGCACATGGCCTTGCAATGTCTTCTCACAATTCTTTTCTAAAATGGGAATAATAATTATTCAAAGATCTTATCTTTTTAAACACTTGGCCTTCAAAATGGCTGACTGAATATATTCAGACCCTTGAAATATCCATTTTTCTTTTTTTTTCCTGTTTCAGAAACACCTACTCCTAATTGACATTCTCAGAATAGAAAAATGAACTTTTTTTCTAGATGCTACCCTTTTGCTGGTTTTAGTCTCTCCCTTGTGTTACATGCAGATTCTATTAAAATACTGAATTATGTTCCAACCTGAATTAAAAGGAAACTAAAATGTTTGCTTTTGTACATAGTAATTGTCATCTTAGTGTAACAGTCCATAACTGATTCCTTATATACAATAGTAGTCCATCAGTCACAAAATTTGAGGTGAGTTACACCAGAACAAACTCATTCATTATTTGTTTTAAAATATCAGCAGTCTCCATAATAAAAAGTTGGTATACATTAATCTCAGTAAAAGGTGTACAATGGCCATGTGAATACGTGGTGAATCTGTTGCTCTTCAATCTAGATATGTAGAGATTAGTAGCAGAGCTATTGAGACTGATACGAATGTAATATTGAATGTACTATTGAGTGAAAACAGATATATCAAAGCCTCTTAAGAGACCATGGAGGAATGTTAAGAGAATGATTTGCATTGATAACCAAGAACATTATTGACTCAGTAAAACTGAAAAACAGGGAGGAATATCTTATTTGCATAAAGACTTTAAGGCAAGCATTCAGATGTTGAATTATACCTGAACATCAGGAAACACATTTTTATTGTGCACACTGACTGTACATTGGCCCACATTGACCAAAGAGGAGTCTCTGTCCTTGGAGATAACTCACAAGCCATTTGGACATGGTCCTGAGCATCCTGCTTTGTAGGTGGACCTGCCTGAGCAGGGCAAGTTAGACCAGGTGATCCCCAGAGGTCCCTTCACCTTTATTTGTTTCAACAGCAGATTGATTCAATCTGTGCTTTCATAGTGGAAGATGGCAAGGTTAAACCAAATTGTATGTGCCGCTCCTCTTTCTGGCATCCTAGCAGGATGATAGACTACAGCCCCAAAGACATCCAGAATGAGTAAACCAAGTTGATGGGCAGTAATGACTTACTAGCTGTTGATACCTATAGGGTATAAAAGATCTGTCTAAAGGACAGTTTGTCTTTGAGAAGCGTAAGAACTCATAAAATATCTTACTAATATACAGCAATGCTGTGACAGTTGAAGTCTCCTGTCCTCTCTGTCAGACATGACCCTTTGAGTTTGGCACACTTTCCTTAGTATTTCTGAGTAAGTGGATCCAAAAGTGAGTGGGTAGAATCAACTCGATGAGCAAATTAGGTAAAGTCACCTCTACACTCCCTGAGGTCTGCTATTGAGATTTGTTGCATCACGTTCCTTCAGCTATTAAATTGTTCTAAAGATTTTGGAGTGCTCTTATTCAAGGTAGGTCATTTTTACCGTTTTTGAAACACAGTATATTAACTGATCCAGTGGATGGTAGTTATCCACAATGGAAATCATGTACTTTTTTTTAATTCACATTTTTCCCTTTATGCAATTTGATTATTGCAATTCCTTAAGTTATTTTATAAGTTCATTTGCATATAACTAATCCAATCTTGTTAAGACAGCCTGCACAGATTGACTTGTCCTACATATCTGGGTAGTAAATAAACAGTGTTAGGAACCAATAAGCTTGGAGAGCGTTGGCTGTAACTTGTAATGTCTTCACAGTGATATGTGACTTAAAATTGCCAGAAATAATACTGTATGAAAGCCTGTGGAGTGTGTATGTATGGGTTTAATTACAGAGAAAGGAAAGTAGGGTTGTCTTTTTTTTTTAATCCATAGATTGTTTTCATGTAAAAATTAACACCCAGAATTAAGATAACTAAAAATTTTTTTTCACTCTGTAGCATAACAAATTAGACTGGAAGAGTCCAGAAAAAAAATTCTGCAGATGGTATCATTGTATTAAAATGTTACTATTTATTAACTGTTTCTGAAACAGAACAGTATGATTGTGTTATGAACATTCTGAAGTCTTGGAGGCCCTAAAAGAATTAAAAAATGGTGTGCACAAATGCTTCTAAGGAATTTTTGTAATACTTTCAAGGCAGTCATCTTTGTGCATAAAAATTAATGTTTGCCCATTTTCATTTGCCTCACAGCATTTTGTTTGCTTTTAATGCTGTAGTGAACACTTGAATCCTTCAGTGAAGTAAGGAGAAAACAGAGCCTGTTGTTATTGAAGATCTAAATTATAGGCTGTGTGTAGATACTGCATAGAAAGGTTTGTTAGCCACCATGAAAGTGATTAAGAAAACAGTGGAAAAAAATGCCCAACTTTATCTCCTCTATGTCAATATGTGCGTAGTGTTAGTTTACCTTTACTGTTTCCTCAATAAATTGCAGAAACTGTCAGCCTTAGGAGGCACATAGGAACAAGTTTTCAGCATTTATGTTACCTGAAGAAGTCACTAGTCAAGTGCAAGATACATTTGACTTGTATTGAGAGTAGCCGATCGAAGAAGAGGGCAGAACTATGCGGAATTCATGGGAAATGCACTCAACACATTACACACATATATACACGTTACACTTGCATCAGTCCCTTGGAGAGTCAGTGTTCCTGGCAGGAGTGGCATCCCATATTTTTGGCTCATGTTGCTTATATGGGTCCTGACCATCCTTGCAGGTGGGGGTTCTTGAAGCAGGCAGCACCCAATAGCTTTGACTTGGTGTGTGTGGCAAGACAAGCATTCCTGGTAGCACCTGAGGGCTGCCTTTTATTGCCTTTTGGGGAGCCAGGTTGTCCTGGCTCACTGACGGGGAGGTTACCAGGCTGAATGTCCTATGGGACAGCCATAGTCTTGCCAGGCTCAGCTGAGTTTGGCTGGAGGTGTCTCCTGGTGCACAGACCTCTCTTCTGTTTGCTGCCTGCTGTGCCCTGGCTAAATCTCATTTGTCACTTCTTGTTGACTCTGGTGAGCTATAAAACTTAGTCTATATAGCAACATCTGCTTAGATTGGCTACTGAGGCACAAGATCCTCTTGAGGTTAGACTGGGTTTTTTAGATCAGATGTTTCTACAGTACTTCTGCTTGAATATTTTCACTTTTGTCTTGAATTTTGTGTAAATTATTTGTTTCATGTGAAGTGTGTAAACTGTGCTGATGCCTTGAAGGAGTTTTCTGGAAAAAACAGTTGCCCAAACCTGCTTTGACAGACCCTGCTTGAGTAGGGGAATTGAACTAGACAACCTAAAGAGGCCCCTTCTAACCTTAACTATTCTATGATTCCGGGACTTCAGTGTTGTTTGAACAAGTGAAATCAAGGGCATATGCTGGAGTTTGAAAATACAGCCTATAGTTGAATTCAGAGAACTACCTTTAATTTCATTTCTTACCAAGTACTTTTTTTTCCAGGTTATTTATTGTGAACAGTATGCTTCCCTTGTTTTTGTTTTCAGGTTTGCTTTATTCAGCATGAATGCAGTCATCATCTTCACTAAAAGGATGCTGTAGATGAACCAAATTGTTTCTTAATTTCCTTTACAGGAGTGGTTTTTAGGTAAAGCATTATATGATGAAGAATCTACAATAATTCACCATTATGCCTTTGCTGAAAATCCGACAGTCTTTAAATTTCCAGATTTTGCTGCTGGTTGGGCACTTAGCATTCCACTTGTTAACAAGTAAGAACTGAATTTTTAATCCCTTCCTACTTATTGATAATTATTAAGAATGTTTGGTTTATACAATTTTTCTAGATGCTAATCAATATTATCTTATTGTGTTATGATTTCACATGGATTGATATTTTCTATAAAAGATGAAGGTATTCCTGCAGTAAGGTTGAAGATCTGTTGCAGATCATGTAGATATGCAGAGTCAAATTTTTTCAACTGTCTTTGAATTGAAGATTCTGATTGCAGCTTAACTGTGACAGCTTGGGATGTACTCAACCAGTGCACGCTGGTGCACTTGTTTCTCATGGCTTTGACTTCAGAGCCTACACTGAACTTTTGCTGCTGCTGCCCCCTGTATTAACAGCACCCACACTGATATGTATCAGTCTGCTTTGAGGATCTAAGGTGCATAGGTAGACATTCAGCCAGGCACAGTAATGTAAAACTAGCTCTGGGCATGCCTACATAGACTTGTGCTCCCACTATAACCTTAGCCAGAAAATGCTACTTTGATAAAATTGCATTTTTTCATTGTTTGATATATTCCAAGCATAATTATTATAAACACTTAAGAAGTCATTATTAGACAAAGGTACAGAAATAGATTTTCTGTGCATGTGATTTATTTTGCTTTGCTCTGCCTATGTCATCTAGTTAATAGTTGACCAGTACTAGTTATTCAACTAGTTCAATACCATATTTTGTAATTTAAAAAATGTATTCTCCCCCAGACAGTGGTTTTATTCCTGGATCTTAGAGTGACTGCGTTGCCCTCTAGAAGTGTTTCCCATGTTGTAGAGACAAACTATGTGTTTACTTCACATTAGATGCTTTCAAAGGAGATTTCAAGTTCATAGATTTCAGAAGTTGAATGCACCTTACTGTAGCAAGGATTGATGTTTTCAAAAATTGAAAGTGCCTGAACACTATTCTTTGCAATACACAGAGAAGAGAATATTGTCTGAAGTTTGAGATGCTGAGAAATATTGAGCTTCAAATGTACTGATGCTTTTAATTTGTTGAGAATGTACATCTACTCCAGGTGAGAACTTTTTTTTAGGGCAGGAAAAATGTGTCAAAATGTGTGTGCTGAAAATTAATATTAACATCATGGCACTGGGCTCAGATGAAAAAAAATTAATACCATAAAGAAATATAAGTTGCTTCTTGAGGCAATAACTACAGAAATGTGATTTATTATTTTTCCACTTATAAAATGGTCAGTAATATACCATTTTCCAGTAATATACATTTTCCTGCAAACACTAGTGATTGATTTTTTTTATATGTCTGAGTAAATTTCTTCATCTTTAATTGTACAGGCTTGCGAAGAAGTTGAAGAGCGAACCACTGAAGTCAGACTTTACAATAGATTTAAAGCATGAGGTAAACAGTGATGTGATGAAAAAATATATAAAGTTATATATTTGAATGATGATAAATCAAAATGGAAATATACCATTTTTCTTAAACATTGCTAGAAAGTTTGACTGCAATAGCATGTTTGATTTCTTTCCCTTTCTTTAAAATATTGTAATACTTTAAAATTATATTTTAAGCATAGAGGAATTCATTAATAAAATTGCTTTCATATATGAATGTGTGCGTGATTGTATACAATAAGGTATATTCTAAGGCTTGCTCTGTAACAAAGGAGAGACTTGCAATTCGTGAAGCATAAGCTGAGGTGAACAGTATCTCAGGTACTAGCCAGCCTCACTCACTTTCTAAATCAGATTCTCAGAGCTAAATATGGTGGAGTTTGCCCTAAACAGTCTGAGGATCCCAACTGTTGTGTGAACAATCAGTGCTGCAATTTGCAGCATGGAAGTCTGCAACTGTTATTTTTTGTCTCTGGTTTGCAAGAGCTTCAACAGGTTGTTACTAGGTATTTCAGACTCTGACTGAAACATGAGAACAAAGGAGTGGGGGGTGGATCTGGAAGAGTATCAGTGCTACTTTTTCTGAAGCTTTTTTATTTTTTTTCTGCATTCAGAATATTTGTGTAGCACAGGGGTTTGTACTGTGTTTAGTTTTTTCACCCAAGTGAACTTCTGAACCAGGATAGAAGAGGAGGATGAATCTGGAATAAGCTTGTTGATTTTGGCCTGAAATTGGGTGATACTGAATTAGTTTTAAATATTTTAAAACTCTTGAAAGTCAGCTATGAATTATGGTTCTGGTCCTGAAGAAAACCCACCTTGCTTAAAACCACTGCTGCTGTTTCAGATCTTGTAGTGGTTATAAACCTCCTCATTTATAACATAATCTACAGTGTATTTATAGAGTATAGATTTGTAGCATATTTAAATGAATTTGGGTTTGTGGCAACACCATTCTTTCACATAGTTTCCCCTTCTTGACTGATATATTTCTCATTAGCATTAGGACCTCTCAGCTTTCATTTTGCTACATAAACAAGACAACAAAGCTGTTTCTTTCCTCTTGTTAGTTTTTTCTAAATGCAAGACCTCGGGCTTCACACTCTTAATCTTTTTTTTTGTAAGACAAAGTAATTCGTATATTCCCAATATTCCAGTCTACCTCAGCACTGACAAAGTCTCTAAACAGTGTCATAAAAAAGATCATTAAGAAACCTCGCTTTTATGTGCCACAGATTGCTTAATGAAAAACAATTGATCACTCGACCAGCAAAATTACTTCCACCCACTTCTCATTCTGTTAGCAGGTTTTTGCATATGTTTCATTTAAAATTTATTGCCATTGATAACCTAATTCAGCCCTGTAATTATTCTTTCTGCACAGCCTCGTCTCCCTAGAAACAGTTCCATTTCCCCTCATTTATTTTATAAATCACCAGCTTCTCCCTCTTAAATAATTTTTATCTCTACGTCCTTCTTGTGTGAATCAAGATTGACAACAAATCAAAGGATATAATCTGTTATCTTTAATGATTGTGTGTAATGTTTAAGTTTATGAAGGATGAGAAATGTTTTGAGAAATGTTTTAAGAAATATTTTAGGTTGATAGAGTCCTAATAACATATGCCTCTAGTCTTTGGTATTTTACTGTGCTCTGTATCCTTTTCTTTTTCTTTTTTCCCATAACATTTATATCACTTCCCTATCTCTCAGATGCAGTAAAGGATTTTTGTCATGCTGCTCATTTGTAGGTTACTGTTTAGACTTTTTGTAACTATATAATATCTAGCATGTTCCTTGATGCTTATTCAAAGCTGGAAGAAAAAAATTGATTTTTTTGTATGTCTAACACTAGATTTGAACTAGAACTAAGACTATTCTTGTCTTTTTATAGTAAATCCATTTCCATTGTTCTAGTAACAGTGTGTCATCTGCACTATAACCCAAAATAGCACTCTGACCTCACTTCCGAAATCAAATAGCTTTACACCATGCAAAGGCTTTCTATTGCAGATTTCATTTTCCAGTGTGAAATTTTATTGTATTGTGAATTTTCATAAATAATTAATGTTAAGTTACAGTTGTTAAATATACCTTGTGCTGCAGGAGCACTGCTTCTTTGTTGGTTCATGCGATAGACTTAACTCTGAATAGCTGAATTCTGAACTAATACAGGGATGACTGGTTAAGGAGATCCAGGAGCACAAGTGATGTGTTCTCCTTTATCCTTCCAGTTTCAGGAAACGATGAGGGAAGGAACAGGAAGGGCCAGCAAACCAATACGTGGCTCTGAGCCTGGTGTCAGTGGCAGAGTTTGAGGTTTTTGATTGTGGGTCAGTTTACATGACAGCAGAGCTGTTGACAACAGATGGGGTACACCTGTCTCAGATGGGGTAAAGGGTCTTTGCCCAGGAGTTACCAGGGATCATTGAGAGAGCTTTAAATTAGATTTGGAGGGGGAAAGGGATAAAACCAGGTTCACTAGAGATAGGCCTGGGGGCACTACACTGCTGTTTGAGGGACAGTATGCTAGTGAGGTCCTCCAGTCTGCTGTCTCAGTGGAGGTAGAGGATGGAGATCCATGTGGCAGCAATGACACAAGGTTATTATTTGTGTGTTAGAAACCATGGAAGCACCTGAGAGTAGTCACATAGGAATTAGGGTTCTTCCCTCCAAAAAGTGTTGGGATCAATAGCCCAACTGAAATACATCTACATGAATGCTCATGGCATGGGCAACAAAGAGGAGAGGCTGGAAGTCATGGCACAGCAGGAAAGCTATACATAGTTGCCATCTCAGAAACACAGTGGGATAACTGGCTCAATTGCAGTGCTGCAATGGATGGCTATAAACTCTTCAAAAGGAATAGTCAAGGAAGGAGAGGCAGTGGGATAGCCCTCTAGATCAGGGCTTATCAAGTGCTTGACCATGGTGTTAATAGGATTGAGTGTTTATGGGTAATAATCAGGGGGAAGGCCAACAAGGCAGACATTCTGGTGGGATTCTGTTACAGACCCCCCCAAACAGGATGAAGAGGCAGATTAAATGTTCTGTAAGCAGCTGGGAGAAGTCTCACAGTCACTAGCCCTCATTCTCATGGGGGACTCCCACTTACCAGATGTCTGCTAGAAATACAATAGAGCAGAGAGGGAACAGTTCAGGAAGTTGCTTCCTGGCACAACCGGTGAGTGAGCACTGCTGGACCTGCTGGTGGTGAATAGAGAAGGACTGGTGGGTGATGTGATGGTTGGAGGCTCTCTTGGGCATAGTGACCACGAAATGATGGGTTTTATTCTTAGAGAAGTAAGGAGAGGGGGCAGCAGAACTACTGACTTTGGCCTGTTCAGGACACTGGTTGAGAAAGTCTCTTAAGAAAGTCCTGAAAGGCAAACGAGTCCAAGAAGGCTGAACATTCTTCAGTAAGGAAATAGTGAGGTGCGGGAGCAGGTCATCTCCATGTTCCAAAAGATGAGCCACTGGGGAAGAAGAGTGGCCTTTCTGAACAGAGAGATTTGGCTGGAACTTGGGGTAAAAAGGGGAGTTTAAGACCTTTGGAAGAAGAGGCAGGGAACTCAGCAGGACCACAAGGATATCTTGAGGTTATGCAGGAAGAAATGCCCAAATAGAACTTAGTCTGGCTACTGCTGTAAAAGACAACAAAAAATGTTTCTATAAATACTGTAGCAACAAAAGGAGAGCTAAGGAGAATTTCCACCCTTTATCAGATACCAGAGGGAAACATAGTGACAAAGGATGAGAAAAAAGCAGAGGTACTTAATACCTTCTTTGACCCAGTCTTTAATGGTAAGACCAATTGTTCACAGGGTACCCAGCCCCCTGAGCGGGAAGACAGGGAAAAGGAGGGGAAGTGATCAGTGATCAGCTACTGCACCACTTGGATACACCCTAGTCGATGGGGCCAGATGGGATCCATCCAAGGGTACCAAGGGAGCTGGTGGAAGAGCTTGTCAAGCCAGTTTCCATCATTTACCAGCAGTCCTGGCTAACTGGGGAGATCCCAGTGGACTGGAGGTTAGCAAATGTGACACCATCTGCAAGAAGGGTCAGAAGAAGGATCTGTGGAACTACAGGCCTGTCAACCTGACTTTAGTGATGGAGCAGATCATCTTGAGTGCCATCATGTGACACATACAGGATAATGAGGGGATCAGGCCTAGCCAGCATGGGTTTGTGAAAGGCAGGTCCTGCCTTGCTGTTGTGTGTGGCTAAATGATAGGATAAAGAACCACTTACATTCCATAAGGTGAATGTGGTGACAAGGCAAAATGATAAATTTGGAGATTTACATGTGTTTATTGGCTGCTTCTTACAGTGAGCGTATCTCTTACATGCCAATTCCCTACTCCACCTCTACTTCAAGCATGATCAACAGCATTTGTCTTAATGCATAAGCATGAGTGTCAGTTTTCTTCCATATAGTGTCCTTTCCCTTGAATACTTTGTTGAACTCATGTGATGCTGGATTCATCTGTGTTTTCAGAAGCATTGCTTATTAGTGAATAATAATGTTTGTACTCACAGTTGCTGGTAGCCTGCATCTGCTCAATTGCAAGGAAGAATACAGTAATTTAAACTCTTTTCAGTGCAATCAAACTAAATGTTTTTACTTAGCAGTTGAGGTGGTCAAAGGGTGTATGTGTAGTTACAACAGCACAGCTACAATCAGCAACTTACTAAAAAGTCATCAGTTAATTGTGTTCTATTATGTGACTGTGCCCTGTTGAAAATCTTTCAAATCTAGAAGCTTGTTTCAAATACATAATTGTGTTCTAAACCTGACCCAGTCCTAACAGGGCATGTAACAAACTGACCTTCTATTTCATTCCCTCTAAGTTCCAGAAATTACTATGGGCAGGTAGTTGAGATTTTCTGAGGTTGTTGAGACCTAAATGAGACAGACAGGAAAATCATAGAATCGCAGAGTGGTTTGGGTTAGAAGGGACCTAAAAGATATCTAGTTCCAACCTCCATGTCATGGGCAGGGATGTCAAAAATAATCATCTATAAATTAGAAGTCTGTGACTGCTTTGATGACTTGGGCTTGTTCAGTCCATACTTAATGCTCTTGGTTCTTCTGAACAAGGAGGAAAAGGAAATATTGTGCTCTCTTAATAATAGCATAATGATCACATTATTTACTAAAAGAGGAGTTGAATTCTGGCCCTAGGCTGGGGGGCTAAAGCTAAAAGTTCCTAAGTAGGCATAAAACAGTGAAAACTCATTTTCATTGCTTTTAGTGTGTGCTGGGTCTGGCACCATATTAGAGAGGAGCACTGTGCTTGTTTTCCATTGGGAATATGTGTAAATAGTATGAGAAACAGAAAATAGAACCCAGGACTAATTTTGCTCCATTGGAGAAGTGTCATTCCTCCTGTAAATTCCAGTTGAGTTAGATATAAGTAAACCTGGAAACCAGATTTCCTACATCTTGAGTATATGTTAAAACAACTTAAAGAATTTCTTCTATAGCAAAAATATTACGTGTTGGCTCTAGAAACATGAGCAAGAAGTAAGATATGCAACTAGTTTATTGACCAAGGGACAAGTCTTCTACAGCATTCCATATTCTTCACTTTTCCTGTTAAGTTTGCCTTGTAATATGATTTCTTTGCATGCCCTGAATATTTTTATACAGTGTCATTACTGATATAAATGTTACCTATTTTGACAGATTGCCCTGTACATTTGGCAGAAAGGGGAAGGACCACATCTTACTCCAGTGCCTGAGTTCTGCACAGATGATATGAACTCGTATAAAGTTGATTATTGTGCAACAACATTCAGTAATTTTCTACCACTTTGTGTAAGTACCATATTTTAAATATCATTCACTTAGTAAATGTAAAATTCGTAATAAAATGCATAATACTCGACTTCAGAAATCTCAAAATTTAAGAAAATATTTTTCAATGAGTTAAAAAAGACTTAACAAAGTAGTTTGTTCTGGATATTTCCTAGCAATTAATATTGCAAATGCTTTAATGGGTCTTTCTACCACAATGTTTGATCAGCACATGATCTGTAAAGTATTTACCCTTGCACTTCTGTGAGATACTGAAGTATAGATGATTGTAATACAGTATTTGTTGCCCTAAAGTACAACCCATCTCTTCCACCTCTAGGAGAATACATTGGTGTTATTATGACTTAAGTGTTACTAGAGGCCAAAAAGTGTTCCGTGCTTCCAGGAGAGAGAAGTTCTAGGTGCCAAAAATGATAATAAATAAAAGTGGTCAAATGGTTTATTACAACTGAGAAAATTAAAAGATTTTTAGTGTGTAGCATTTAATCTACTTTTTCCAAGTGTGATACAATTTAACATGTTCTCATAGTTCTTTATCGATGAAAAATGTATTTCAATTATGTTATTTCAGGAATTTTAAGCAACCAGTGACTTTTTTTCAATAGATAAAAATGTACTTCCTAATGTATTACTAGTACACTTTTCTGTTTGATATGCTATACAATGAAAAGATATTATCTGTTTATTATATGTATGGACATGCATATCCTGTAAAGTATTACAGGCAGAGCCTGCACTTAAAGATTATGTTTTGTTCTGTTCATATAGGGAGAACCAGTGAAAAAGGAAGACATTTTTGTTGCTGTAAAAACATGTCGAAAATTTCATGATGACAGAAGTAAGTTGTTGAATGGTCAAGGTACTAGATTTATGCAATATAGTTCATTAAATGAATATCTGAAAAACAAGCTGATCTTTGCTGTCTCTGTAGCTCTTGGGACTAATATTTGCGAAATCAGCTTGGAACCAGGAAAGTTTCAGAATTATAAACAGCTTATTCTTTAGACAGAATTTTTTTGCTGTTCAGAGTCCTCAGGAGTGCTGTCAAACATTTGAGATGAAAAGTTGTTTGATGTTTCATCATTAGTGATTCTTGGCAAAAAACTTGAAATTTAATATCTAAATTAAAATATGCATGAAGTTAGCTTAAATTGTAAATTGGAGCTCTTGCAATATTAATTAATATAGCAGCTATTAATATCCTTCAGTGACTTTGCCCCAGATAATTGGTTCACTTCTGTCCTTTGTACTAGCAGTGACAATTGTGCAACTCTATGGTGACTGATTTAGAAGTCTGAACAAGGTGAAAGGTCCCTCATCTCCTCCTCCCTTTTGTACTGCCCTCCTCTCCAGTAAAAGATTGAGCAGCTTATGTTGTCATATTCCTTCTGGCTGTGGTCACACTATGCAATTCGATGTGCACATGTGTTTTATAATGCTTCCAATGGGAAATTTTGTCTCTTGTAGATATTTGGTCATATGCAGTACTTTGTCCAACCTGTGACCCAGATTAAGAATCTCCCAAGTGTGTGAAACGCTATGGCATGTTTTTGAAATTGTAGTGTTATACAAGTAATGATAATCACCAAAAAAATAGGACTTTGATATCCCTGCTAAGAACAACAAAAAGAAAACCTAGCACCACCCAACAAGATACATGCAGTGAGCATTAACTTCCTTCTCATAGGCATGGAAAATAAAGACACAGAGAGACACTCAGCTTCAGCTAATACACAATAATGCTCAGATAAGCTAAGCTAGATCAAGTATTGCAGGAAAAATACTAAATTCTAAATCCACTGATTTAGCAGAAGACACTCTACTTACTAGATGCCACCTACCAGTGCATTCTAGTTTACTTCTAGACATTTGTTAATAAAGAAATTCAGGAATAGATTTATTTCCAGGAGTTTGAGTTTTGTGTGCTCTTTAATACTGCAGGTGCATAATATTGTCACCATTAGGCTTAGTTTGTTTATAAGCGTAATTTAAAGTAATTATACTTGACAAAAATATTGAAAATTAAGTAATGGTTAGTACCTGTACCAAATCTGGGGGGGAGGGTTGCCACATGTATTGTCAGAGGACAGGATGAAGAGAAAAACTCTTTTCTTAACTAAGTCTGGTTAAAAGCAGATGGCTTTTTTTCATAAGAAGATTAATGAATTATTTTTAATACTACTGCAGTTGAAGACACATTTGTAGTATTTTAATAACCTAATCATTAGGCTATCTTTAAAGTAGCTTTTGACAAAACAAAATTGACTGTCCTGTAATCGGAGTTCACTGAAGAGTTCTCCTTTCTGGATCCATGTTTATTTTCTTACATCAAAATTTGCAAAAAATCAAAACAAAACAACCTAGAAAGTCAGACAATAACATAAGGCTTCAAAAAGATAGCGTAAACATCCTTCAGGAAACAGCTGTTGAAGACTGAGGAAAATTCTTGAACTTTCCTCACAGCTTCCAGTGTTATGCAATAGAGGATAATCTTGCTCAAGATTTTGAAAGATTAATGAATGCCAGCTTCAGAGAGCTCTTTTTACCTGGTAAGTCATTCTTTATTGTATGCCAAAAACTACATTAGTGCAGCTTTTAAGCTTGGAAATTGATGTGCTTTTAAAAGCAACTAAATTTTACCTCAGAATTTACTTCAGATACAGCTCTTCTTACACATAGCATACATAGTTATAAAAGAAATTTTCAAGACTGCAAACATGGATCAAGGTTCTAGAAACTGCACAAATAAAATGTCATTAAGAGCATAGAGCTGACCTTCTATAAATATCTCTAATGGTATTAAAATTTTGGTGTGATCACAAGTTTTAATACGTTGATAAATATTTGCATTAGCATCTAGCCCAAAATTTCATATAGTTGTTCTTCCTTTGGAAGATACAAGTTGCTAGAAATGACGAAGTATTGTGGGATTCAATTTACAGTAGACATTAGTCTGGTGGTGACACTTCCATCAAGACAAGCAAGGAAAAGAGAAAGACATTTTAGCTAGTAGCCCCCTTGCTAGACTATTTAACTGAGGTGAGGTTCAAGTCCTTGCTTCAGTGAACATACTTCATTTATATGCAGAAGGGGACTCACTCCACTGAAGAAATTGAGAGGCTCAGTCTGTAATAGCAAATATTTCAGTGTGTTAAAGCACCCTGTTGAGTTTCTGGTCCTTGTTTGGAGAAAGGTAAAACAACCTTTACAGATGTGTCTCTTCTACCAGGTGAAGGTTGGACACTTTTGTATATCTGTGATACTTCTGTGCTGGCGCCTTGTTTTCTGAAAGCTTTCGGGTTTTGTTCTTCTAAGAGACATTTTTAAGTAGAACATTTCCACAAAATAAGAAAATAATTTCCTGCCTACTTGTTTTCTTAATCTAGTTGAAAAAAAAAGTTTACTCTGCCAATTAGTGCCTGATTATGCAGTGTTATATGATGTAATGTGACTTTTTATTACATAGGAGGTAGAGTTAATGCTTTGTGAAATTCCTGCTTTTGCATTAAAAACTCTGCTATAAAGTTGTATGAGTACATTTTTTTGTACATAATTCCCTTTGTTTTTTTAATGAAAAAAAATGAGAACACTTACATTTCTTTAAAAACTTTTAAAAGCGGGATGGACCATTGCACACTGCTACGGAAGTGATTTTTTTTCCAAATATTAAAGCCTTTCCATTAGTGCATTGAGTTCCTGTTACTCTGTCTTAACACTAAAATGAAATAAAAGATAACTTATCAAACTGACTATTGGTCAATCAAGAGTAATTAATCCTTCAAGTTCTTGTGTGGTTAGAGTACAGGGAAGTAAGCAAGTAGGTATGCAGCAAACATCAAATTAGGCGATGGATGATTCTAGCAAGAGACTAAAATGAATTGTTCACAAGCATCAAAGTTATATAACAGCAAAGGGAAGTTATATGAATATTTCCTCCATTTAGAGCACTAGCTGCTACCAGTGAGACCTCCTGGATGGTGTCAGAGAACATAAAGCATAGAAACAATGACAGCAGAATGCACAATCTTACTCATCTAAGGTCTGACCACTTAATTTTTAAGATGGAAAAGAGATCATTATTTTAATCTGATAGTTTTCTTCCAAACACCCTGCAGATGGTTGGGGGTTTTTTGTGTTACATTCACTTCTGGATGTAATTTAAACATTCACAGCTCCATTGTTAGAATTCTGTATGATCAATTTTAAATGTTGATGTGAAATGCCAAACTAATAAGAAAAGGGTTGCTTTTGTAGAGAAGCATTAAGCAATCCTCCTTTGAACAGAATCTCCATGGGATCAAAATTGGTTGTATGATATTTATAAATTACGCAAATATTTTTATTTATAAATAAAATAATAAATATTTATACATTTATAACAGGAATGGTTATAAAATGCTCTGTGAGTGTATCTCCATAGATGGGTACTTTTGAGCATTAATATGACATTGCTGTCAGATAGGATGTGTAAAACACAAATGTAACATTTCCAAATGCGTATTTGGTCTGTTTCTAATTCAGAACATTTTATACGCTGTACAGTTGGATGTGTTGTTTTTAAGATGTGGCAGTTTCAATACTGGAAGTAGGATTGATTTCTGATTGTGTTTGTGCTGATTTGTGCTATGAAGTCTACCATAGCAAGTGTAAAAGTAATGAATTCCATGCTTTGGTTAGCCAAAATGTAAATATCACAGTTTTCAATGTAATGTGAAACTGTAGTCATATTTTAAAATAATTTTTTATCATGTATATAAAACTGTCCTGATTGGCTTTCATAAAGATATAAAATTGGTTCTAAGTATTATGGGAAAGAAAATAGGATGAACATTTAGAACCATAGTGCTGTATTTGAAACAGCATTTTTATTACCATGCAAAGGAATGTGGTTAACAATAAATGGTTAACATAAATTTTTTGATCAAGTACTTGTTTTAATCAAGTTACTTGTGTTTCAATGTCAATCATTGTTTTGCAGTACCAGTTGTAAAGCAGACTTGGGAAAGAGAAGCCGCCCTTATTGAATACTACAGTGATTATGCAGACATGTCCATTCCTACTATAGATTTAGGCATACCTAATACTGACAGAGGTGAGCTATTACCTATTGTTGTCAGTTTTGCACAAATAACTGTCTGAAGAAGTTAAGTTTTATGGATGCTTTGTGTATTTCATGTAAAGTATGTAATTTAGAAATTATGTCTGTGGCGCATCTGTGCAGCCTAAAAAGAATGTTTTTGCCACAGGAAATGGATGGGGAGTACATTGGGAGTTCCCCTGTGTAGGTAACATGTTCTTTATAGTAAAAACCTAAATACCATGAGTATGAAAACATGGTACACTGATATACTCCAAGACAAAAAAATTGGTATTATTAGTTGGGGTAAGAGTAATAACTTCAGTTACTGATGATCTTGAGTAAGATCATCAACAGTAGCAGAAGTCATAAATTTATTTCAAAAGACCTTAGGCAGTGCCAGCTGAGCGCAAACTGCTTGCCATGTGGTTTTCAAATATTAAATTCTTGTGCCTAGTATGTCTTGGTTTAAGCACAAAAACTAAATGTTAAGATTTAAATGTTTGTATGTCAAATAGTGGGGTTTTAAATTAATGTACTTTGTGTTTGAATAGAAAAAATACTACGGATATGGTGTCTTTCGTGAGTTTATTAATTTTGATTTTTTTCTTTCATTTGATCTATTTTTCTTAGGCTTGTAGTCTACAGGCTGTACCTTCTGAATTAGAGGTGTCCAAGCAGTGGCCTGTTAGCTTTATCTGGCCCACTAGGTCAATTGTTCTGATCTCTGGGTTATTTCTGCCCTTCTTTTTTGTCCTCCACAGGGTCTGTTAGAAGCAGAAATAGAATAGGCACGGATTTCTATTTGCACAGGTGCAGTGGGACATATGCAAACAGAGCGTGTTTTCAGGAGGCAGCAGGCCTGATGGGCGTATGTGGATCATCTGTAGAAGCCATGCCCAGTATTTCTAGTTATGCCAGGGGGAAGGGACCTTCCACATTTTGTGATGAAATAAAATATAGAAATCTTGGCTCTAGTTTTGTAAATGTACATACATCAGTCTGCATTAAGTTCACAGTTTCATAAAATCAGCACAGCCAGGACTTCCTTCATTTCTTAAGCATTCCTTACGGCATTTTCTCAAAAACATTTAAACTGGAAATAGCTTCAAATATAATATCCTATCCTTATTTTTAATGTTTATTAATTTTAATATTGATGGTGACAATTGCTTACACAGCCAGCTGTGTTAAGACTAACTGCAATTAGTTTTTTCCGAGATCTAAAGAACATTCAGTAGAAATCTGAAACTCCTTGTTTGTCTTGTCCTGCTCCTTTTGAACAAGGGTGTTTCATTGCTAGTAAAGGGTGTCTTACCCCTCCAGCTTCATTATAGTCTTGTGATAAATATTAAGACCTTTCCTTGGGGGGCAGTTAACAGGACCTGAGTTGTAGTGATGAATGCGGTAGATTAATATAGATCTAAATATTTATATAAAGGCAATGGATCTGCCTGATGCATCATGAAATGCTATGAAAATATCTTGGAGTGTTTTGCAGAACATGTTTCTATCATAGTCTCTTAATTTTACAGTTTTCGAAATTAAAAGTAACAATCTGTCCAGTATTGTCCAACAGCTTAACAGGATAGTTGGAATAAAGGTTATTTTTAATTCAAAGAATTAAATCCTTCAAAAGTGTGTTCCTGCATAGAAAGCAGTGGTTGTGCTGGAGCAGTTTTTACAAATACCATTCTGCATAACAAAGATTGTAACTTAAACTCGCATCTCCCATATTTTGGCAGTCATTTCCAAAATGTTTTACATAGTGCAGTAGAACATTTATTTAATTAACAATAGTTTATTGTAAAATCCTACTTTATTTAAATGTATATTCTGTTAATTTCTCTTTCTTTAGGTCACTGTGGGAAAACCTTTGCCATTTTGGAAAGGTTTTTGAATCATACCTCTCCCAGAACCCCTTGGTTAGTCATAGTGGATGATGACACACTGATAAGGTATAAATTTCATTACTGCAGGATTTACCACTGTTCATGCCAATAAGAGTTTTAGCAGTATTCATCTATTCTTCTGTATTCAAGAGATACACCTGTTTTATTAGTTACATATCTTTATATTTCTTCTAGAAAAAAACTGTCACTTAAGCATTTTTTGACAGATATTAAAATCAGTGTAATCTTGTAACTTGGTTAAAACTATGCATATTAGTATTTAATGTAATCATATAGTCTGAATATGATTACACATTGGTTCCTCAGTATAGGTGTGTCTGAGCCGGTTGGTTTTAGTCATTGACTAATATGCTTTATAAGACGTATTTCTCACATAAATGTGCAGAAAAAAGGTTCCATAAGCTAGGGCAGTTGTCCAAGCTACCCAGAATGATGTTCAGAAAAAGAAAAAATGATTTTCTTTGTTAGAAAATTAGATTCCATTCACGTAAAATCTGACACTGCGATATAAGCAAAAAAAAGGCACAGTGATCAATGAGCAGAATCACATGGACATGAACATAAGTAGTTCAAGACAATACTTTACATTCAATCATGTGGCAGAAGAATTTGGAAGAGGATGTAACTGTAGATAGAGCAGTGTTCATATAACTAAAACTACCTTTTGTTTTTCAGTTTGTAAATGTTCATTGGTAATTTGCAAGGATCTTACCATTGATCAGAAAAAATAATTTCACATTTTCTCTGAGATGAGGTGCGCTTTTGCTGACAAACTTTGCCTACCTCAGAAAAATATTTTAAGCTACTTGATTCATCACTTGACCAAAATTGGCTGTCATATCTTATATAATCCATCGTAAATGTCTAACAGTTTGTGTCTCTGGGATTTTTTGGTAGAATTTCTGAATTTCTCCTGGTATCTTTGTGCTACTTACTAGAATGCCATTTAAGCTAGCAATATGTTTACAAATTAAGTTTTACAAGATTTTTTTAATGGATTTTCATACTATAGTATCTTCAGACTTCGAAAATTACTCAGCTGCTATGACCCAAATGAACCAGTATTTCTTGGAGAGCGTTATGGTTACGGCTTGGGAACAGGAGGATACAGTTATATCACTGGCGGAGGAGGGTAATTTATTTAAACTCCTACTGAGATCTACATTAGCTCCTCTTTTGAGTGCAAATGTTTTAAATTACAACACAAATGAGTTTCAATAGAAACAGTGATGTTTCCCCCAAATGTGTGCAATTTACCTCACACCTGTGTAGCAACACTAGCTGGTCACAAGTCCCAACTCTTCCCCCTTGCCCCCAGGCTCTAGTTTATTGTTCCCTCTCTGTTTGTGCTGACTCATACGACTTCCTATTGTACTCTCTGGTTTTTTTCTTTTTATTATATATGCAGTCTTTAAAGTTGCAGTGATATTGATGAAGTTTCTTACTGCTTTAATCTGACAATATTCTAAGGTCAGTCTTTTTGCCTTAGCATTCAGTATTTGTAGAAGTTTTACCATATCCCAGTGTCAAGCGAAGGATTACCATGCAGTGAATGAACTCATGAAGCCCTGCAGCAATTTTAGAGTGAATCTTTTTAATATTATTTGTAGTAGCTAGAGTACCCTTTATTCTGATTGGACTGGGTGGATAGAGGAACTTAAAGGCATCTATGGAACACTAGACAAGATTGTAGTCCCTCAGATGTTGAACTTAAGATATCAACATGTTCCTGATCTATTTAAGGCTTATTTTAGTGATACTGATCTAACAGCTCTAGGCTCTCATTGATATTTAGATGAGCAGCAAAGTTAGGATGAACAGAAAAACCTTGCAATGGCTTAAAGGAACATTTTTTCAGTTATGGAGGGAAATCTGTCTAATAGATGATTCAGGGAATGACAGTCTAAGTTTAAACTTCTTTTCAGTTAATGGCTACATGATAACTAACTCGAGAGTACATTTGAGTAAGACAGAGAACACCTCTTTCGCATCCGAGCCAAATTTAGGAGGAATTATCAGCTGTGGTAAAAATGGTGGATAGCTAAGTTATCGTTGGAATAACTATAATTGGCATAATTTGTATAATTAATTTACATTCTGTAAAGTAATTATCTTTCAGAAAATGCCTCTTGCACTGTTTGTCAGTTCCGACTTCTCAGATTTAAAAATTTCCAATGTGTTGTATCAGAGGGCTACATTTGGTCTTGCAGCTTTATGTCATTTAGCAATATTTATTAATTACAGTATTTGACTTCTTTAATAGCTATTGTCTTACATATTTCATGTGCTTTTTTTTATTCAGGATGGTTTTCAGCAGAATAGCTGTTCAGAAACTACTTGCTAGTAAATGCCGGTGTTACAGCATGGACGCGCCTGATGATATGGTCCTTGGGATGTGTTTCAGTGGCCTAGGAGTCCCTATAACACATAGTTCACTTTTTCATCAGGTCAGAGAGTTATTTCTAAGTATTTAAAATATACTGCATTTTTTAAGTGTACATATAAAACGGAACTCACAAGTACTGCAAACTTGAATAATATGTAATAACAGTAACCAAGATGCTGCTGCTATACCTTGTTTCCCTGCAGAACAAGATTGATCAGGCAGATAAGAACATTCTGAAAGCATGGATTACTATAATGCTTTAATAGTTATGGTATTTCAGTTAACCTATAACTACATGTTATAAAAAATGCAGAGGTGGGTATTTTGAAAAACAAATAGAATTAGGAGCCACATGCTTTGAATAGTTGTCATATGTCCTTTAAGAAAAGAAAAAAAAAACACAATACAATACTTTTTTCTTCAGGTAATGGAGAACTGACCATGAAATTTTTCAATAAATCTGCCTTGTCTACTTACCCAACTTTTTTATTGATTCAATATTTACTATTCTGAAATATCCCATTAGTGAAGATAGATCCCACAATATTTAACAAGCTAACTGCAGTGTCAGGGTGGAAAACACAATACATTGAGGCCTGTAGAGATTTTCTGGCTTGTCAACCAAATCCTTCCATGGCATTAACAAGAAGCACTAAAGATTTTTTTTTTTTAAAGTGCACAATTTTTTAAAAATCAGCATGTAAATCAGTGTAGTGTTTGGTATTTTTCAAGTGTTGGTCCAGTTTAAAAACTGGGAAGACCTGTTTATCTGAATATGAACTGAGATTAAGATAACAGGCTACTTGAGAATTAGTAAATTACCATGTGGTTCCACGTAGCTGTCAGTGGAAGAGGGGGTGTTCATTTGAATTACCAGTTTTTCCTATGTAAAGTTCTCTTTCTGATTACATTTTCTATTTAGAGAAATGTGAAGACTGAGAATACAATATTCAATACTTTAATTCCTTGTCCATATAAAAAAAAATCATATCTGTTTACTTTCCTGTTTTGTTTATCATTGCTTACTCTTTTAAGCATAAAAAGAAAGCATGTAATGCATCTTATAAAATCAACAGTTATTGAATAGTTTGTGCTTGCACAGATGTTTAAAAAAAAAACCAAACCAACCTACTTAAAGTGAAGTTGGAAAGAACAGAACTCATTTTATAGATAAAAAAAACAAAGCACCTCCTTGTAATTCTTGCTGGTGTGCATTTGATACTGAATTGACACTGAATCGATACTGAATCACTGTAAAAGTGAAATCCTAGCAGTTTGATTTTCCACATAGAAAATTGCACTTGATTTGTAATTCATCACTCTTGCTTATAGCAAATTCTAATTTGACATACCTTGAACAAAAATTAACCCTGAGGAGAAAACTACTGAATAAAAATTAAATGTGCTTATTCTGCAAATTGCACTATTATGCAAATGAGAAAAAAATGAGAAAACCAATTTTGGATTTTCTGTCAACCAGAAAATAATTTTTTTGAGGCTTGACTGAAATATGATGTGTGATGTTCCTTGAAGTACATGAATTCGAAATTGTTCTTAGATATTTATTATGAAACAGAAGCAAAGATATCTTTGTCCGTAGAGTGTGATGTAACAGTGTTTGCTCACTCCTACTGTTTTCCTGTTGGCTACATGCTAAGATAGATACATATGTGTTCTGTAACTTGTTCCAGAGGCTTTTGACATGATGAGTCTCTTAAAGAGAACAAGAACCTTCCCATGTTGAGTAGCAGCCAGGATTGTGATCTTAAATGTTCGGTCTGTCCACGAACAAGTATATGGGTTTTCTAAAATACCAAATACAAATTCTAGAAAAGAAAAGAAAAGAAAAGAAAAAAAGAGCAAATATTACAATAATAGATTCCACAAAGTGTAGGGAGATAAGAAGAAATTCAGGGAATTTATATCTTTTAAGTTTAACCACCTATAAAGCTATATGATTCTCAGAGAGCAATGTAATAAAAATTATACAAAACACCAAAATTTTGTGTACAGCTCAATACAAAGCTGTTTGATTTTTTCAAACAGCAAAAATCTTTGGTCCCAGATATCTAAAAATTGCCTTTATCCAAAGTAAATTCTTCAGATTTTTGAAACCTACATGTTCTTCAAATTGTGTTTCAAAAGTCTTGAGGGATATAGGCTGCCTCTTGATTTCTCCAGTGGAGTTTTTAAAAATAAGCACTCTGTGGTTTAAATATCAAAATTTAAAAAGCCACCAGCAACACATTCAGATTTCTTAATGTCAAATTCTGTTGCCTAATTTTATGATTGGAGTATATACAGAACTACATGAAGAACACTGCATATAGAATTCATAAATGCCACCATAAGTAGGTGAAGTGTGCAGTATTGAATCAGTTACTAGCTTAGGCATTAGATCAATTATTTGGTATCCAAATCACTCGATTTTCTTTGTGCACTTTACATCTAGAAAAAACAACAAAAGTTTGCCTTTTGTGCATTTCTCTTTACAAAGACTCTATTTATGATGACAAAATGTAGTTATTTTATCAGGAGCCAATAAAGGTGGGGCTTTTTTATATGATGATGCACTTATGAGCCATTAAACTGCCAGAGAAAATGAAACACTCATGGTGCCTTTAGACAGCAGCTGCATCATGGAGTTGTGTTGTAATTCTGTCTGGTTTGATACAGCCTGATAAAGAATAACAATGCAGTTTTCTGGCACCACAATGTATCCCACATTTGAAACCTTTACCTAGCGTAAAACTTCATGTGTTTTGGCTGTTTATGGGCTTATTAGGATCCTACAACCACGCTGGCAGGGCTGGCAACTCTCATTAAGAGGAGGAGGAAGAGAATATGACTTAAAATTATTTTGTCATTACTGAGCCAAACCTGCTTATTAAAAAAGATGCAATACAAACTACACTGTCACTTGTTTTCATAGATGACCATTTAATCCCAAGAAATAGGACATATTTAATATCAGTGTACTTCATTCATAGCGTGATGACTGCAGTGCGAGTTGAAGATTTAAACTAATGCCTATCAATGGATTTAATAGAATGACGTAAAAAACCCTTTCTTGCCATCTTGCATGTTTTATCAGTGCTACATCACTTTGTTATGTTACAGAGGCCACTGAACGGTGATACTTTCTCTTTTTAAAATTATTCTTGATCACTGAGTATGAGTGGTTTTGCTTTATTCTTTCACCTTAGGCAAGGCCAATGGACTATCCAAAAGACTACCTTTCTCACCAAATTCCGGTATCATTTCACAAGCATTGGAATATTGATCCGGTGAAGGTGTATTTCACATGGCTGGCACCAAACACAGAAGAATCACATAATGGAAAAAAAGTTGGATATAACAGAGAAGATTTATAAACAGTAGAAGAATGTAAGTTCTGCAGATGACAGACAGTCAGTACTGTGATTTTTGTTTTGTTTCCACTTTCTTCTTCTGTTCATGACGTAAGAAGGCAGTGTTTTGTTCCTGTTGGTTGAACCTCCTCAGAACAATGGAAGAAGGCACTTAAATGACTTTGGGGTTCTTTTGCTTTTGTATATCAATGAACTTGATACACATTTAAAATGTCTTGTACAACTTTACCTGTGTTCTGATTTGGACTTGGGTCAGACAGCATCAATTTACATTTCCTTCCTTTATTCTCTCAACAGCTGAAGTTATGTATTTGGGAGCCTAACATTGAATATGTGTTGAACATCTATTGAACATCATCTCTCACTGACCTACAGAAAACAGTTCTCTAAAATGTTCTGAAACATTTTCTTAATAAATCATAGAGAAAAGTTGACTTTTTTTCTGTGACCAGGCTCTAGATTGTGTGAAGGCTGTGCTCCTTTATGCTCATTTCATATAGAAATACTGTAATTTTCTGAGGTAGTTGGACCAGGCACGACCCACTGTTGTACATTTTAAGTTTATTGGCATTTGTGTGGAATGTCTTGTACAAAATGGAAAAAAAAAGGTTAAGGACCGGGATTTCTTAAGTGGCCACGGGAGGTCACTGTGGCTCCTCTTGAAACCTAAGTCACTGTGCATCTATTTGGCAAGTATAAATGTGACTCTTAAGGATTTTTTCAGAACTAACACTTCAGTATTTCTGATGTGTGCATTTCAATAGCATATGGATAACACCTTTAAAAAGTTTGTAGTATTCCTAATTTATGTCACCAAGATAAGTGATTTTATGCATACAACATGTAAAGAGTGATTCATATTTAAAATGTTCTTGAATTTTTTTTTAGTAATTCAGTTTTGTAAAAATGTTTGTACAAAAACTGGCTTTAGTATGTTCTGAACTAATTTTTATATTGTAAAACTGCTTCTTTTAAGATGACAGTATATGACACTTATATGCTGTTATTTAACTTGGCTTGCTATATTGTTACCAAATACAGGGTCTTAAAGCCATACTGCTGAAGTAACTTGTGTTTTGGTTTCTTTTAGTAGGTTGTAAAATTGATTCCACTCCAAAGAAAAACAATACTTGCTCTAGAGTCAAAGTAGGGGAGCCACCGATTCCAGTTTTGGTAATTACCGAAGTTCTATACACGTTTGTTTGTAAATGTAGCTTGTGGAATTTTAAGCATTGAATAGCAAGCACATATTTATCATAGAATCAATTTCTGGTTAAGTAGGAGCAGTCCATGCTTTTTTTCTTCCCACACTATCAGTGCCTTAAACAGTAGACGTTTTACTGATACCGGAACTATGTTCTCCAGTACCATGGGTGAATTGTTAATTATGTTTACTGTTTAGAACTGTGACAGCTGAAAGCTGAATAAAAACATTCTTTAACCTTTTGCACTTTCTTTGTCTTTGCAAACCAAGTACAGGATTCTTTAAGCGCCTGTGAAATAATTTTACCACTTTAATTGTATTTACTGTCAGTTGTACTGAAAGGCAACTTTTTTTTTTCATGTTCTGTCCAGACATACTTCCCCAGATTAAGTTAATTTTCAGTCTCTGGTTTTGTGCAAATGGAAAATGCTTTTTCAATTAACATCTCATGTGATTGGGAATCTTGATGATATCACAAAATATATGTCATTATCAAATTTTCCAAAAGTCTTGCAACACAGTCCAGACAGTTCCAACTTCCAGCTGGTGATATTTAATCTCTCCTTGGACCTGGTAGAGGCAGATCAGATCAACAAAAGATGATTAGCTTTGGGTCCAGGCTGTGTTTTACTTGTAGGCTGCTGTCTTATTTAAAGCTGGGGAACCATTGACTCACTGATTGACTACTTACTTGGACTTTTATTTCTGATCTGACATATGTAATAGTAGCCATCATAAAATTCATTTTTTCCCTTGCTGTTAGCCCTGGGGTTTACTGCAAGGATTCAGGAGGTATTAGTAACCATTAGACTTCTGATTTTAGTCTTCAGTTTTGAAAGCAACAAAGCCATAATTTACTCAACTATTCTGCCCCCAAAACTCTGACTTTTGAGACACAGCTAATTATATGCAACCCTGACACAAGCAGCATGACAAAAGAGACCTTTTAGCCCACCAAGTAAAAAAAATTAGATTTTTTCAAGGAGAGGATCCCAAAGAGTTTCTATAAACAAGATGTAAAACCTTCTATATTAACTTTAGTTTCAGAAGACTCAGGATGACCATTACTACTTGAAACCTAAAGACAAAGTGGTGTGTTAATGAGCCTGAACAGTACTGATGTTTCTAATGAAATTCAAGTGGATTATAAATGGTGTCATGTTAAAGCAAACCAATAGAAGGGGCATTCACAACTCACTTCGTAACAGGCAGATTAAAATGGGACTGCAAAATTGATTGAAGTTTCCTTTTCTGAGACATTCCAGGATTGTGACATAAAAAAGAAAATTGACTGTTTTTAATGTTTATAACATAAAAAATTGCCATGTGTTAGGATCTTTCTTTCACAGAATTCTTTTGATAATTTGGTTGGTTGGTTAATCTGCTTTCAGAAGCCAAAAAACCCCTTGAAATACTGTCAAATGCCTTCAGTATAGCATATATATAAATGATGAGTGATGCAGTATTTGAGGCCCACATTTGATCACAAGTGAGAATGAGGACTCTGAATCTGTTTTTACTTCCCTGCATCTGCAGATGGCCCAGGCATGGAGGGACCCAAAAAGATCTGACCTTGATCTCTTCCTCTGCAGTTAGGATAATGGGCAAGAGTCTTGAGGCAGCTTGCAAGCTGGGTAAATTTCATTTTGTGCTGGAAGACTACCCTAAAAACAGCTCTAATGGCTACTGACTGGAGGAGGAGTCTTAGTTACCTTATTTTCAGTTCTTTAATTTTTTATGGTTTTTGTTATCATGACTGTAACTAGAATGTCTCAGCCAGAGGCCTCAGACACCATTCAACTAGATTCCTGGAAGGTGAGATCAACACAGTGTAAGGACTGCTATAACAGTCTACTGTGAAGTGCCTCCAAAGCTAGTAATGCCACTTCATTACCAAAAACCATGGAAAAGTAGTAAGAGGTTTGCTTTTTGCAACATTCTAAAACTCTGGAGGTTTTGTTCATTGCACTCCATGATAGTAAGTATATTTGACTTTGCCTTAATGCAATTGCTTCTGCTTATTGTTGATATGAAACTAAAGGAGAAATTTAGAATTCTGAACAAAATGCTCCTCGATGATGTCACCTCATCGTACAATTGCTGAGAAAACTAAGAGTACTTTGATTCTGCTCCATTAATGCTGTCCAGTGCAACTCTGAGGTCCCAGGTCACAGCAGCATGGTTGTTTCACTCTCCCCACTAAACTGGTGTACACATCTACTGTGTTGGCATAGAACAAATTTACCTCCCCAGTCACATTGAAGATAATATCTTTTAAGTAATTGTTGCATTCAGGAAAAAAAAAAGATTTGATATTGAGTTGTAGGTAACCAATTTTTCTGTTTCAATTTATTTCATGTTAAGTGTATGTATAAAGAGTAGCTTTTTTCATACACAGTCTCGTAGCGCTAGCCATTGTGTAACTACTTGATTTATATTTTGTCCTGAGAAGAAAAATCCTCATGCTTTTCAAATCTCAGTCTGGTGGCTTACAGGAAGAAATCTGTGGAACTAGAGGAAGCAGAGAGAGGTGAACTATCTGTTTGCATCTAGGTGCTTTTGCAGATTCCCTTGACTTGTTTATTTGTGCCCTTGTCAGTCAGGAAGCAGCAGTGCCTCCACTGAAATCAGTTAATGAGATTTCTTCTGCCAGAACCTGCATTTGCATGGCAAGAATGAAACAGCTTTGGTGGAGTGTTTGTGCACTGATTAGTTCTGAAACTAGGGGGAAAGACACAGTAGAAATAATTTATTTAAGGTAAGTAGGCATTATGCAAATGCATACAGAGGCCTAAAGGATTCAAAGTCAAAGAAAGGAAGAACTGGTTTGGAAAACAGACTGGAGAGGAGTGATAGGAAATTACGTCAATGGAGTTTAGTGGAACATTCTTTATGGAAAACCTATATACATGCTGGTTTTGTAAGCTAAAAAAAATTAATACTAAGCTATTTCCATGAGAAATAAGATTTTAAAGCAATGTTTTTAAGTCTGAAGGCTTAAGAGCCTGACTCTTACACAGAAAAACTCCAAAAAAGTTAAAAACACTAGGTTGTTAATATTTTACAGACTTGACTTTTAAAAAAAAAGATTATGGTATAAGCAGTTTGTTAATTATCATAATAACAAGCCAAAAAAGGAAGTTATCTGCTGGGAAGATTATTGTGCATCATCAACTAGTTTATACCAACTTCTCTTGGATATATTTCCAACAGTTGTGACTTTGTAGGAACATCTGTTGCTCACTGATGCCATGGGATGAAGTGTTAAGGTGCCTTCTCTTCCTGTGAAAATATTAATGAAGTGAGCTGTTACATGTGCTGTGCACTCAGATCTAACTCAAATAGTGGAAAGAAAAGAGATGGAAATAAGAAGCCAACACCAACCATAGCCAATGTTACAACACACGATCTCAGCCATCTTTGTCATTCACTCTTAAAATTCCTTTGGAAATGTAACAGTATTAGACCATGGGCAAAGACAAAGGGGATGGGCCTTGTGAGGTTTGGACAATGCACTGGGCATTTCACTGGATTCTAGTTGGGACATCCTCCAGATGAAGGCCTAATCAGACAGTTTATACTGAAGTCCATCAAGGTCCTCATAGCAAGAACCATGTGTTAGTCCTAATTCTACAGGCACTGCGCCCCCTGGATGAGCTACTGTGAAGTACTGCTTCCAGAGTAGTGTCTAGAGTATACCCAGAGGTATTAAGGAATTGGGTTGGGCTTGGCAAAGCTGTGCTGAGCTTCCCTACAGGACTGCATAGGGTCCTTTCAGGTTGCCAGTGCTCTAGTAAGCGCTGCCTGCCATCACTCAAATTGTTTGGATGACTGTCTGAGGACCAAAGAAGCAGTAACTTCCCAGTTCTCTTAAGACTTAGAGCTCCACACCCCACCTCCCCCACCTCCTGTTTTTTCCTCCTTGTGCTTTGCTATACCATGGTTTTCTGGCTTTGCATGTTGAAAGGAATGGACATTTTAGGCTACACATCTGGCTGAGACCAAATGTTCTTGAATGCTGTTATGCAAATGGCAACTTCAGCACAGCTCTGGCCAATATGGCACAAGGAGACCTGTGCAGATAGTCCATGGAGCAATGCTTCCACTAGCTCCTGGTCCAGACAATACATGGGCCCATAAGACTTGAATTTAGATATAAATATTAATTCAGACAATTCTGGCAATTCAGAAGTGATATCTTCTCCCCAGGGTTTGTGATGTCTTTTGATACTCTTGGTGCCACATGGCTCTAAAGTTAGTAAATTACTACTAAAAGCACAGCAAACAGAGAGATGAGGGAAGTAGCTGTGTGGAAACAGCCTTGAGCCAGTACAATGCCGCCGTTGTCCAAACCCTGCTCTTGGGAGACCTGATGCTTGAAATCTGAAGCTCAAAGAAGGGAAGTTTCTTAGTCTTGTCTCTAATTTTCTCTTGTTCTCTGTATGTCCTGCAAAGTGCTTTTACAGCTGGACCTGTGAACAGAGCTGTGCTATAGCTCCTGGCTTGAGAAAAGGAAGATGGAGCCCAGCTCTAGCTAGGCTGAAATACCTACTCCAGACGAGTATTTAATTGACTACCATCAGTAGTGATCACACAGTCCCTGAGAAGAATGGAGCCAATACTGTACTACCTGCTTCTGGGTGAGCAGATCCCTTGTACTTCACTTCCTTCAGGGAGTGCCTGTCTGAGCTATTTCTCAACAGAACAACACATTTGCAGAGAAATCAGAATTGAAGAATAGCCCAGACTCCTCTGGAGGTCATGTGGTCCAGCCCTCCTGATCTACCATGGCTTTTGAGTGTCTCCAAGGATGGAGACCCCACCACCTCTTTAGGCAGCCTATGACAGTGTTTGACCATCCTCATAGTATAAAAGGCTTTTATTATATTTGATTGAACTTCCCTGTGTTTCAATTTGTACCTATTACCTCTTGTCCCGTCACTCAGCTCCATCAAGAAGACGACAGCGCCATCTAATCTGTACCTTCTCATCAGGTACTTATTGAGCCTCTGCCTCTGAGAAGCCTCTGAAGCTGCAGAAGTGGGGTTCAGATCCAATTTATTTTTACTTGTTTAACAGTTTAACATGGCAAGGTGACTCCAGGCACTTTCCACTTGTCTGTTTACAGGTTTTTAATAATTGTCACAGTGCCAGGCATTCGCTGCATGGTGAGAAGCTGCTGGGAATAATTAGCACTGAGGGGAAAATGTCAAAGACATTCAAATGTAACATTTATACAAAATGCTGCTGCTTTTTAAAGTTCCTGTCAGCAGCAGCACAAAAACCTCTGTGAGTCCCCATGCCCAGGAGTTCATCCCACCCACACAGCTATGCAAAGCAATTTCCCCACTCAAAGTCCTATTTCTCTTCCCTGCAAGGCTGGTGCCAGCAGCATTGGGAGCTGGAGAGCCTCACAAGCTCCTCAGTGCCCTGTCA